AGCCCATGTCTCCTCCTAAACCACTCTGCCTAGTAGCATTGTAACAGTACAGAGAACAATGTCACTCCTGTTGGGATGCTGAGGCCGGTCCATTCAGGACAGAACTTTTTTAAGCTTCACAAAAGCAATCGAAAAACTGTAAACAGCAGTTAGTCATTTATTTATTCCTAAGGAACGTCCACTATATATTTTCCCACTATACTAGAATTAGACATCTCTGCCCTTAAATGGGAACTAATTCTGGGGACAAAAGCTCAGAACAATTATGTAATGCTGGGTTCAAAGATAACCTTCAGATATTTCTCAGCAAGTTGGTGTGATATAGAAAAGAGTCCTGGACTTCGAGTCGGGGAACCTGGTTCCAAAGTCTGGCTCTGCCACCTACTAGCTTAATTTAGCTCTGTGACCTTGGATAAGTTAACAATTCTTAGCTTTGTTTTCCTTGTTGGAAAATAAAATGGGGTAATAACAGTTTCTCTTATCTGCTTCAAAGGGTTTTGAAAAGAGTGATTAGCAAATCCTAAAGTGCTATAAAAATATGAGCTATTGTCATTATTGTTAATACAGATATTCATGAGCCAGACATAGTAGATTATGACAAAAGAAGTCTCTCTGTTTCTCTCCATTTTTTTCTCCTTTTACTGGACATTGACGCGGCTGCTGCAGTGGTGAGCGTGAGACCAGCTCAATACTCTTAACCCGGAGGCGCATTGATGAGGCGGGAGACAGCAAGATAGCAGAAGCTACGTTTATTAAGTGCTAGTAGCTTTCTTTTATATCCTTAGTAACACCCGATCAAAGCATGATCTCCACGTGATAGCCAATCACCAAGTCTGCTGGACACCTGCAGCCCTCATATCAGGGGTATGAGTAGGATTTTTCTCCCAATGAGAGGACAGCCGAGCCAACCGTGGGAGCTGCGTGTCAGCAAAGGAGAGGTCTTGTGAGACTTCCTTGTTTTTGCCACGCAACAGGTTGTGACCCTCAGCTTCTGCTAAGAGAAGCTAGGACTCCTATGGGAAAATTCTCTCAACAGGACATAACATAGAACCACAGTCTTTTTTTTATGATTTGTCATATCTGTTGCATAGAGGTTCATGTTTCTTGTTCCTGATTTTTAAAAAATGGGTGAGGAAAACATTTTCTATTTAACACCTAAAACCCACTTCCAAATAAATTGCTTTTCACTTGAATGTAGCCTCCAATTGAGAGGAGCTAGGTGGCACAGTGGATAGAGTGCCAGGTCTGGAGTCAGGAAGACCTGACCTCCCTCTGGCCTCAGACATTTATTAGTTGCGTGACCCTGGGCAGGTCACTTAACCTTGTCTGCCTGAGTTTCCTCATCTATAAAATGAGCCGTAGAAGGAAATGACAAACCACTCCAATGTCTTTGCCAAGAAAACCCTAAAAGGGGTCACGAAGAATCACATGTAACCGAAAAACAACTAAATAAAATCCATATCAACCTTCAATTGCTTTTGTTCGCCCTATGAATAAACATTACCAGAACTTATTATAGAATGATATGAAAATCCAACTTGGAGGTTGAAAATTATAATTTATTCCCTCCTTTCCCCATTTCCAACCTCCAGATTTTGGGGAAAACTTCCTGTCACAGAATTAATTAGTTTCTAGCAAGAGCCAGGACTGAAACTGGATAAACTATCAGCCTAGAAGAAAATAAGCCCGAGTTTATCCCGTCCAAACTGGGACATCTGGTTACATTCATCTTGTATCATGTCCTCTGTCTCTGGTCTTCAGGTCATTTCACTGTCAGAATTCTTCCCCACCAGGAAGGGTGCTGACTTCTGGCTCAAGTCCACCCCTTTCCATGGGGCTCCTGGAAACCCTGATGAGTGAAAACAAAGCAACAGTCTTTGGACATCACCATTCTAAGCACATGACAGGATGCTGGGTTCTAATGTTGTGATAGCATTTCAGATTGGATGAAAGGCACTGAAACAAACAGTGCCCACATGCAGGACCATGAGTAAGCCATGGCTCAGATGCTATGTATTAGCTAGGAATGCAGGCTTAGATGCTATCATCAAGATATCTCTTCCTTATAGAATCATCATTATGTTCTTACATAGTATTGTCCCATTGCAGGTCAGCAACATTTATGGGGCACACATCCGGTACAAGGTACTTTGTCAGCTACTGTGGGGAGACCCACAGCAAAAACAGGAGGAGGCCAAGCCCTGTTTCCTGTTTCAGAGGGGACTCTCACTTGCTGGATCCTGTTAATTCCATCTGTCAGAATCAGCTTCCATTCAGAAGTCTCCTTGCTGAGCTCTGTCAATTAAATCAATAAAGCACAAAGTTCAAACATCATGGAATGGGGATAGAGACCTTCCAAGGGCTGAGCAGCAACTTCAAGAACTTTCGATTAAGTGAAATTGATCTAATTTATTACTTCCATCAATATTCATAGAACCTGTGATTTAATCACAATCTTTCCTTGCCTTAGTAATTGCTTTTTTGAGTTGCTAAGACCAAAATAAAAGCTTTTCCTGATTCCACTCTCCCCCAACACATAGATTTCTAGGGCTCTCCTTCTCAAACTATCTTCTGTTTAACTATTTTATATGTATATACTTATATATGCATTTATAAACTTTACATTTATGATACATATGTATTTAAATGTACTTATTGTCTCCCTTATTAGAATGTAGACTTACTTAGAGATCCAAGAAAGAGAAAAAGGACCCAAATGTACAAAAATATTCATAGCAATTCTTTCTTATGGTAGCAAAGAATTAGATGGTCCCCAACGATTGGGAAATAGGTGAAGAAATTATGGTATATGAATGTTGTTGTGTTATAATGGAATGCTATTGGACCATAAAAATGATGAGAGGGACAATTTCAGTGAATCCTGAGAAGATTTGGATGACCTGCAGAGTGGAGGGAACAGACCCAGATCCATTTATCCAACAACTGCCACAGTGTAAAAACAAACAACTTTGAAAACCTTAGAAACTCTAATCAGTTTAATGATCAACCATGATTCCAAATGACCAGTGATGAAGCATGCTACCCAGTGTCTGACAGAGTAGCGGTAGACTCAGGATACAAATTGAGAGATATGTTTTGGGGATATGGACCCGGGGAAATGTGTTTTGCTTGACTGTGCATATTTTCACAAGTGTTTTGTTTTGTTTTGTTTCCAGAGACGATGGATGGGAAGAAGAGAAAATCAATTTTTGTTCATTGAAAAAAAACTAAAATTCAATTAAAAAAAGAATGAAAGCTCATTGTGAGTAGGAATTGTTTCATTGGTTGTACTTGTATTCCCAGCACCTGGGATATAATATGTGCTTTAAAAATGCTTGTAGATTGATTGAATGATTGACCTGGTGTCAGCCTCCAGAGGGAGAAACCTTCTCTGTACTTAACCAGGCTGTATGTATCTGGGTCTCATGCTCACAGCCTTTCCAGCTTGGTAAGACCAGTAAGAGCTTGTACTCTACTGACATAAATAGCCTTGGGAAATACAAAAACCTATTACAAATAATTTAAAATTTTTTCTCTAACTGGGGAGGCAGTGTGGTACAGTTGAAAGAGCACTAGTCTTCAAGGGCTGAATTTGGAGTCACTGGACCTGAATTCAAATTCTAGCTTTGCTATTTACTACGTATGTGACCTTTGGCAAGTCAAATCAAGTCAATGAGTATTTATTGACAACCCACTATGTGCCAAATACTGTGCTTAAGTGCCAGGGATACCAGAAAGTCAATGTATTAAGTGATAATGAGAGCTATGTCTGGCATGAAAACCAGAATAAGACCCCTGTGCAAGATACTCTGTTTGTTGGTGGATAGGTTTATTGGAAGGCCATTTACAAAATTAGAAGGCAATTAGAAGGTAAGCATGAAAACAGACAGACTGACTTGGATCAGAGGCGTCAAACTCCCAGCCTACTGCAAAACTCTAGAATAAGGAGGAACCAGATTAAAACATAATTGAGGAATGCTTTACAAAATAGGTAGAAATAAAATACAACAAAGATGATGTTAATCTGTGGTTTTCTAAGTCACTATGCAGCCTGCGGAGATTCATTTCTATTTGATTTTGACACCACGGACTTGGATCATAGGATTATAAATTTAGAGATAAGGAGACAGATATCTAGTTTAATCGTCTCATTCAATGTTGAAGCCAAGAGAGGTCACATCCAGCATCAAACAGGAAGTGGCAAGCTGAGATTCAAATCCAAGTCCTCAGATGCCTAATCCAGTATTCTTATTCTTTAAGGATATTTGCATGAGGCAAAGGATGCCCCAGGCATTGTTGTTCTACACTATAGCACTATTTCTCTCTGAGAATACAGAGCTAGTTGTCGCAAATTGGAGAAGCATCTTCCTGAACCATGCGGGAAAGCCTACTCACAGTTTTCCAATTTTTCTTTGTTATCTCTTTTCAGGCACCAAAAGCACCTGCCCTCCCAATACTTCCTCCTGACAGATGTATTACAGTTTCTAAAATCATAGCGAATCTTCCATTCATTACATTTTAAATGGATGCTCTTCCGTTTAGGAAACCTTCCCTTCTGAGAGAGGAAATAATTCAGTCTCACTAGTAACCTGCTAACCAAGGCTGCCTTCTGCAAAGGACTGATTTTATCCATTTCTTCAGATTCTTATAGTAATCACAACTGCCATTTCTTTTTTTTAACTAATTTTTTTCAATGAACAAAAATCTATTTTCTCTCCCCCAGCTACCCTTGGAAAAAAAAAGAAAAAATTCTTGTAACAAATAAGCAGAGTCAAGTAAAAAAAATCCTGGGTCTGCTATGTCCAACAAATGTATATCTCATTCTCTCCCTGCATCCACCACCTCTCTGTGAGGAGGTAAAGATGCTTTGTCATCTGTCCTCTGTTCCAGAGGTTGTTCATTGCACAACTGAGTTAAGGTTTAGAAAATACTACACCACCCCCCAATGACCCTATGTAGTAAGTAGTATCAGCACTGGCTCTATTTTTCAGAAGAAGAAACTGAATATCAAAGAAGTAAAGTAATTTTACCCAGGATTTCATAGCAGTCAGAGCTAGAACTCAAATCCAGAACTCCTGGCTCCAAGTCCAGTGCTCCAGCCACTGCACCAGAAAATGTCACTCTCTGAAAATGAAGTAGGTGATTTTTTTTTCTGACCTTGCCTCCACTGCCTGGAATTCTCCTTCTATGGAACCTTTCAGCCCCCTTTTCTATGGATTCCGTAAGGTTGGTTATGTTTCGGTCTCGGGGGTTGGGAGAGACTATATGTAAACCTCGGTCAGAAAGAAGGGGTAAATGCCTCAGGAAAGGAAGTGCAGGACAGCCTATGCTGATGCCTGACCCTTATATTCAGAAGCTCGTCCTCTGTCTAAACTGAGGTCTTCCTATCACACACCAAACCAGTTTCCTCTGGGTGTTCGAGGGAAAGGAGAAGAGATGGTTCTCCCAGTAAACCCTTCAAGGATTGGAAGACATTTTGTCCTCTCTGCACCCACTTCAGGCTTCTCTTCTCTGGATTAAATCATCTCAAGCCTTCTAGCCTTTCTTCACTGTGTGACTCTTTTCATCATTTTCTTTTCATCATTTTCTTTGTATCATTTCCTGTCTCTCTCTTGCCAGCCCTCCACACTGTTTATACTACTAAACAGAACTGTAATGATGTCAAATCGAATGAGGAAATCATCATCATCATCATCATCATCATCATCCTGATAAGGATAATAATAGTAACAACAATAACAGCTAGCACTGCACAAGAGATCATTTGATCCTTACAACAACTTTCTGAGGGAGGTGCCATCCCTGCCTACATTTGATTATGTATGCTCCTGTTTTGTTGTTGTTTGTCCTTCGTTCTCGAAGAGGACCATGACATCAGGAAGGTGATGCCAAAACATGCAAGTGAATTGGATTTAAGTGAGGCAGGACTGTGCATAGTCACCAGCCTCACTTTCTCCTCCGGAGCCATCTGGTCCAGTGGCCAGATATAGATCAGGAGATGGAGATATAGATCAGACTGGAGATGGCCCCAGATGCAATGGGAGACCTTGACCTTTTTAAGCTAAGGTCTTTCCCAGGTCTCAGTTTGTCTGAGGCAACACCCATCCCGTTTTGTTAGGCCTTTCCTAAAAATACTGGGAGGGTAAGCAATGTGCCCAAAGTCACTGGGGTAGAAGTGCCTAAGGTGGAATTCAAAGTCAAATCTTCCTGATTCCAGGTTCAATGCACCAATCCAAAACACACTCCCTCACTGCCTCTTATCCTGGCTTTGTTTCTTTAAACACTGTACTCCCTATTGATATGTTCCATTATCACCTTCACTTGACCCCACCCCTGCCATGGGTTTTACTGCTTATTCAATTTTAGTCCAACATTAAAAGGTGGCACAGTGGATGGAGAACTGAGCCTGTAGTTAGGAAGTTGTTGTTCAGTCACTCTGTGTGATCCCATTTGGGGTTTTCTTGGCAAATATACCGGAGTGATTTACCATTTTCTTTCCCATTAGAGGGATGAAGAAACTGAAGCAAACAAGGTTAAGTCACCCAAAGTCACACAACTAGTAAATATCTGAGGTTGGATTTGAACTCAGGTTTTCCAGACTCCAAGTCCCACCCTTTATCCACCGTGCCACCTAGTTGCAGTCAGGAAGACTTAAGTTCAAATCTAGCCTCAGATACTTACTAGTTGTAAGACCCTGGCCAAGTCACTTAACTTCGGTTTGTCTCCGTTTCCTCATCTATAAATGGGAATAATTAACAGCACTTACTTCTCAATGTTGTTGGGAGAACCAAATGAAGTAATAATTGTAAAGCACTTAGCACAGCGCTTGGCACAAAGTAAGCGCTATATAAATGTTAGTGATGATGATGACAATGATGGTGATGACGATGGTGGTGGTAGTAGTGGCGATGATGACGATGATGGTGATGATGATGATGATGTTGGTAATGATGATGGTGGTGGTGGTGATGGTGGTAATGATGATGATGACGATGGGGATGGGGATGAGGAGAAGGATGATGGTAGTAGAGGTAGTAGAAACAGCCCAAGATTAGAACCAGAGGATCAGAGCACAAGTCCCAGTTTTGCTACTTATTACATGTGTTCTGTAGTGAGTTATTTCATTTCTCCTGGTCTCAGAGTATCAGAATGGCAGTTGGAAGGCACCTCAAAGGCCAACTAGTCCGACCCGTATTTGACCAAGAATCTCTTCTATAACATCTCCAACAAGCGACCATACAGGCTTTGTTACAAGACCTCTAGTGACCAGAAACCCATTACCTCCCAAGGCAGCCCATTCTACTTTAGATAGCTCCAATTCTTAGGATGTTATGTCCTTTTATCAAACCTAAATTGTCCTTTCCAAAATGTCAATCAAGGAACACTTGCTAAGCCCCTACTATGTGCTAAGCATTGTGTTGGCAGCTGGGGATTCAAAGACAAAAATGAAACAGCCCTTGCCCTCAAGGAGCTTACATTCTATTAGAGAGGTTAAGTGACTTGCCCAGAGTCACTCAGTCAAGAAGTATTTATTAATCACCATAAACCTGCCTTTTTGCTGTGAGATGCTGAATGATGTCATGGAGAATACAGCAGTAAGTGGCCAACTCTCTGGAGTTGAGGGCGATACTGGCCCATTCCAATTTGTACCAAACACTGATTTCTCCATATACTCACCAGCAGCTACTGGAGGAGCTAATATATTTTATTTATTTTTTTTTAGGCAATTGGGGTTAAGTGACTTACCCAGGATCACACAACTAGTAAGTGTCAAGTGTTTGGTCTGAGGCTGGATTTGAACTCAGGTCCTCGACTTCAGGGCCAGTGCTCTATCCACTGCACCACCTAGCTGCCCCCCCAAGAGCTAATATATTTTAGAAACACCCATGGTGTGCCAGGAGTATGATAAGTTCTGAGAATATTAAAAAAAAAAAAAAAAGGAAAAAGTGGTGAAAACAGTCCCTGCTCTCGAGGAGCTCACAGCGTAATGGAGAAAACAACATACAAACAACTATCTATAAACAAGCAGCATACAAGATAAATTGGAGATCATCAGCACAGGGAAGGCACCAGCATTGAGCAGATCAGGAAAAGGGATTGTATGAGTGTGGAATCCAACCAAGAGTCTCCAAAAGGAGTAGGCGACTCTTTTTAGCTAATACCTAGCTCTTTTCTTCCTGCCTTCAGACACAGGTATAAATATCCTCTGCAAAAAAGACCCGTCCAGGGGCAGCTAGGTGGCACAGTGAACTGAGCACCGGCCCTGGAGTCAGAAGGACCTGAGTTCAAATCCAGCCTCAGACACATAACACTCACTAGCTGTGTGACTCTAGACAAGTCACTTAACCTCAATTGCCTCACCCTGTCCAGAACTGACTCCTTGGAAGGAGAAATGAATCCTAGTGCTAGATACACCTCAAGATCTTCCCATCTTGTGGCCTAACATTTGCATTTATGTTTCTTTTCTAAAGGAATTTCCAGTGTGGGGTGGAGGGTGGAGATCACGTTAGATACAATAAGATAGTTGAGGCAACCTGGAAGTTGATCTCATTCACAAAACTTCCCTCTTAACTGATATTTTGCAGGGGGGATGAGGTGCAGGGGAAGCAGTAAAAGAGGTTCGTTTCAAGCCCCAGTAAATCAAAGGGTTGACGGGCAGCTAGGTGGCGCAGTGGATAGAGCGTTGGGCCTGGAATCAAGAAGACTCATCTTCCTGAGTTCAAATCTGGCCTCAGACACTTACTAAGCAAGTCATTTAACCCTGTTTGCCTCAGTTTCCTCATCTATAAAATGAGCTGCAGAAGGAAATGGCCAACCACTCTATTATCATTGCCAAGAAAAGCCCAAATGGGGTCATGAAAAGTCAGACATGACTAAAAACCACTGAACAACAACAACAAAAAAGAAAGGATTAAAACGAATGCTTATTATACAGTTTAGAACTTGGCTGGAGCAGGGATTTCATCATTATGGGCATTCTATCCACTCGCACAAACTGCAACCTTCCCACCCTCGGCGGTTCTTATTTATTTTTCTCCTATAAATCATGAGATAGTTTCTTAACCTTGGATTTAGGTCTAGAGGGTAGGCCATGTGGTCCAACTCCTAATTTTACAGATGAGAAAAATGAAGACCATAGAGGGTAAGTGACTTTCTTGTGGTCACACAGATAGGAAGTAGCACTGCCATGATTTGAACCGAGGTCCCCTGACTCAAAAATTCAGTGTTCTTTCCCATTGTCCAACATTCCCTTAGGACCTAGAAAAATCCTTCTTAAAATATTAACCCAATGTTCTTCTTTCAACATCTCAGCAGTGTCAACATACTGTTAACATTGTTCACCCGTTAGCTCACATTCTTGTTACGTAACTGGCCCATCTCTTTTCCCAGTTTATATATATATATCTATATATAGATATATATATAGATATATATAGATATATATATAGATATATATAGATATATCTATAGATATACACACACATACATAAAGATACAAAGGCAATCAATTCTGATGAGAAAAAAAAAGGAGATGGGCCAGTTATGTAACAAAAATGTATATAGATATATATAGATATATATCTATATACACATATATACACACACACACACATATTCTTGATGAAATGTTGTTGAGCCATTTTTCAGTTGTATCTGACTCTTTATGACCTCATTTTGGGTTTTCTTGGCAAAAATATGAGAGTGATTTGTCATTTCCTTCTTCAGCTCATTTTACAGATGAAGAAACTAAGGTAAGCAAGGTCATGTGACTTGCCCAGGATCACACAGCTAGGAAGTGTCTGAGGTTAGATTTGAACTCCAGAAGAGGAGTCTTCCTGACTCTAGGCCCAGCACTCTATTCACTGAAGTATGGTGGCCCTTGGCTGGGGTGGGATGCTGGAAAGAGAAAGTGGAGAGAGGGAGAGGAGAGAGAGAAAGGTGGTAAAGAGGGCAAAAGAAAGATAGGAAGAGAAAGAAGGAGAGGAAGAAAAAGAGAAGTTGAGAGAGGGGAGAGAGGAAGAAAGGAGAGAAAGGAAAGGAGGAGGAAGATTGGAGAGGGGGAGGGAGAGAAAAAAAGACAAGGAAAGTGGGAGGAGAAGGAGGAAAAGGTGGAGGAGGGGAAAAAAAGGAGAGA